TGCTTTGGTGAAGATATTTTTTTTTCTTAACTGGCCATGGTGGCACATGCCTTTCACTCCAGAATGTAGAGGCAGGCAGGTGTCAGTATCAGAACAACCTTAACTATATACCAAATCCCAAGTCAACTAGAACTATACAGTGAGATATTGTCTCACTACCCCCAATTATTGTCTAGCTTAATTATTGTTTTTGTTAGACATGGTCTCATAGAGTCGAGGCTGGTCTTGGGCTCACTATGTCACTAAGAAGAGCCTTGAACTTCTGATCCCACTGCACCACCACACCTGAGTTCTATGATGTTGAGATTAGAAATAAGGAATTTGTGCATGGTCAGCTAGACTCTACCAATTGAACTATATCCACAATACCACTGTTACTAAGGTAATACTAACAAGTAAAAACTGTATGAAGTATCATTTGATATTTAATATTTATATAGATTATGAATTATCACAATCAAGATAATTAACATGAAATTTACTTCACATGCTTCTAGTTTTCCTATTTATTTTTCAATTATATATGACTGATGACACTGTTTTGTTTTTATATAGGCAGGATCTTTCATCTTCCTCTTTAGAAGAACATAATGGATTTTTTATACTTCCCTGCCCCCTACTTTTATTTCATAATTTCTTTTACTGGAGACTATAGGGTCAATCTGGACAATACATAAATTTTACTATATGTGGTAGTGTTGTCAATCTGACAGGATCTAGAATCCTCTGAGGGATAGGCCTCTTTGATGTCTGTGAAGGATTGTCTTGGTTGTGTCAATTGATATGAGAAGACTCATCTTGACTGGAGAGTGGGCTAGTCCCTTCACAGGAGATCGTGGACTGTACAAAATGGAGAGAAAACCAAGCACTAGGAAGCATTCATTGCTCTGTTTCCTAGGTCTTCATTGTGAAAAGCTTCAAACTCCTGCTGCTTTGACTTCCTATCATAATTGACTACTTTAAATTGTGATACATAATAAATAAAAACCCTGACATAAGTAATCTGAGTAATTTTTTCCTTGTGAGATTGGCTTGTCCTAACTTTAGCCCATTGAAAAACACAAGTTCAGACTCACGATGGGAATCAAAAGTTAAAACAAAACAGAACAAAAAGAAAAACAGGATTATTTCTTTTCCTAATTAATTTCAGGTTGTGTTAAAATGTATAGGTCTGAATAATGCTATATTCCTCTTCTTTTTAGACTATGCTTTGACTTTTACATTTTTAGGAGAAAATCACAATATAAAGAATTCTTTGGTTGAGAGTGTAATTCTGTGGAAGATCAAGTGCTTAGTATTTAAGACATTTGGTTTTCATCCTAAGAATGGAGGAAAATAACAGATAGATAGTAGGGAAAATGTATCTATTGGGTAGATAGATAGATAGACAGATAGATCAGTGTTTTTTCTATTGTTTGTGATTTTCTAAGTCTTAAGACATCCTCTATCCAAGGGTTATAAATTACTGTGTTCCATATTTTCTTCTAAAAACCCTAAAGCTATATTTTTCAAACTCTTACCTTTATCCATAAGACACTGATTTTCAGGTTATAACTGAAGTACAGATGCATTGCATACTCACACACACAGACACACAAAGAGCACACATACATATACACATACAGCGAGCACACACATGTACATGAACACATATGAACACATACACACAAAAGCTTCAGCACCATTTTCAGAAGCATTTTGCTGTCTTTTATTATACAAATTACTTCTTATATCAAATAAAAGTCTCTCAGAAGTACTGGAGACCTCTGCTTTTGTCCTCTTCCCTCTATTGGGTTGCTTATTCCTAATTAAATTTGAAAGCCAGACTGTACACAGTATACTTCCTCCTCTCAGCTTTTACATTTTATGATATACTTAGTTAATGCTGTAATCATTAACAAGTTTATAGTCACTAATCAACTGTGATTCCTTTCTAAATAGTACAACCATATGTAAGTGCTCTTGGGGATACAGTTTGTGTCTAATATATCTCTATATAATATATTATCTTTAATATATAATCTATAATAGTCAGGTTCTTGAGTAGTACTTCCTTACCTGTTCCTTATCTAATGTGGGCTAGGAAATAAGTTTAAGTACTTCATCAGTCCACATTTTTACCAAAATGATAGAAATGTGATATTTCATGTCACTCTACTTTTCCTATACACTATGTCAGTGAACCGGGAGCATCATGATAACAAATGACTGGAGACAGAAAAGTAGCAATTACTGTGAGGAGGCCTGGCATGATGCTACACGTATCTGCGGATAGCACGGTCAATAGGAAATGACTGACTAAATTCATGCATATTTAAGAAGTACTGTGTTGGCAAGTGAAGAACCCACTGTTTCTTCTTATAACTTTTAGTTATTTAAATGCATATCATAAAGTGACAGACTGTCCCCACCACAAGAAATGCAGAACTCAATTGTTTCCCAGCATATTTCCTCACACAAATTCATTGTAACAAAAAGCTATGGTTAGCTAGAATTAGATTTCTGTCTGCTATGCTGTCACCCTGTACTGACGTGAAAAAGCCTGGGCTAAGCTGAGTCAGATGACTTCATTTATCTCCAAGTAGATGATAGCATTTGCTTTATATGTCAGAGTTAGATGAGTTTATACATGAAGTGAAAGGGGTAACGTTTAGATATTAAGCAATTATTACTATTGCTAAATTACTTCTAACTTTGATCATGTGGAATGCATTTTGAACACGCAATCACTTTCTTAGAGTTTTCCATAAGAGTTCATATCTTGTTTTTAATTCTGTCTGACAAAATACTTAAGATACATCTTCTTTTTCACATTTGATTTTTCAAAGTCTTCCCTTCATGCCAGATTGAATGGTTCTGGTGAGCACATACATCTATGGGAGATACAAACACTTGACTGGAATCAATAGTTCTATCCTAGAGGTGCAAATGCTGAGCATATTTTTAGAAGGTAAAAAAATAAATCCTTCAATGTTTAAAGTATGTTTATATGAAAAATTAAACATAACCTGAAAAGCTTGAGTTCATAAAACAATTAAAAAACTAAAAGATATCAAATCTTGAATGACCAGGCGGTCTTTTCAAGAAAAGTTAATGTTTTGGAGTAAATAACCTCTCAATAGAACTTTGGCACAAGTCTTTTCTTATTACAGACAGACAAGAGTGTTGTCTTCAGAGAACTAGGTGGTGCTGGTATACACACATACTCACAGAGGTAACATAATACACTATGCAGTCTGGTCTGACTATGAACTTACTATGCAGCCTCGCAGGCCTTAAACTCCCAATCCTCTTGCCTCTGCCTCCTAGATGCTGAGGCTCTAGCATGTGCTAAGACCTTGGATTTCAAAATAGTTTCCTGAACAGATGTTTTAAAATGGATTTGTTTTGTTTCTCTTTGTTTGTAAACCTCCAGTGATAACCTCCATTAGTGGTTATATCAGATGTGTCTCTATTGTATATTTAGCTCATGGACTGAAACTACATGAGTATCTGACTGGAGGAAATTGTTTCACCTGTACCTGTACCTTGGAGATAAAAGCTAAAGCTGAATATGGCAAGTGGCAGAAAAGGGGGTGTATCTGTGGCTGTAAATGGAAATTAAACCACGTTTGTCTATCTAACACGTTGTTCATATTTAGTGCATGGAAAAGGACGCATGTGCATGCTATAATGAAAACATGAGTGTCTATTGATGACTGCCAACAACTCCTTTTCTGAGACCTGTACCATACTCTTCCCCAAGGGATCTCTCTTCTTACTATTGCAACCAAGTGGGTGTTGTCAGTCACAGTATTTCATACCTCAGTTAGGTAAACACGGTCCTACCCTATAATCTACTAAATTAAAAGTAAGAAGACTGAGAAAGCTCTTTACTGTCAATATTCATTTACATGCAGCTGGCAAAGAGTCATGTACCCAGCTGCACACCAAGATAATTAGAAGAAAACACAGCTAACACACAATGTTACACAGAGGCACAGATGAAAAGTGTCTACTGGCTCCACTCTTTCTTCCTTAGTAGTGTCTTTTTCCTTAGCTAATTTTAGTTGATGTCACTTGGAACCCAATAATGCTACTGAAAAAATTAAGCCTGCCTGGCTAGTGTATGAAGTCCACAGGAAACTTGGTAGAGATACTCCTATATCATTGAACCATCAAGAAATCCATTCAGTAATTTAAGACAGTATCAAAACCACTGCACCACAGGGCTTTTTCCTGACTGCAATTTAACTGAATATGGAAATACCACGAGAAGAGTGTCCAGTCACAAACACAAAACTGCCCACTCCCTCACTCCATGTTTGTGTCTGTGGGAAGGCAGAGACACCCAGGAGGTAAAGTCTACTAATTTGAGCATGCATGAATCTTGTGTTAGCCTGCTCAGCTATACCAAACTGTTTATTCACTCTCTCCAAAGACTATTTTAACTATGCGAGCACATTTCCTTCTTTTCCAATTCCAAACAGCATGCATCTACCTGAGGGTCACACTTTATGATGGACAGAGACACTGGAAGCCACCAGATACGACTCCTTCAGCTTCCCAATACTAACCACACCATGCTGCCCTGTGTTTCACCTTCTCCTCACACCAAAGGCCACCACTCCACATATCCCTTGTTTTGAGTTTCTTTGCTCATTGTCTCTGACACTGTATGCCACTGATTACTCTATGTGCTAAAAATTCAACCTTTCCCCAACTACCAGAAACGTATATTCATGAGGACAGGGTCTGTGCCCATCCCACTCAATGGTACATAGTGTTGAAGCTATGGATACACAAACGAGTGACAGCAGGGAAATTTATCATCTGTGAGTTCTGAAATGACGTTGAAATGATCAGGCACAAAAGCGAGTCTCTGATTCAAGACTGGATGCCTCACTTCAAGAATATTTCTTTACACAAACATAATTTTCCTTATTCTTGATTTTATTTCAGATGAATTCACTTTAAATTTGAGCCTAAGGATGGACTCCATGAAAATCAGTAATACTTACTTTTCTTTCCATCCATATCAGCATGGATTTTGCGAGCCAAAAATCCACTTTTGTATACAGCAGCATTTGGGTCATGAGGAATGTCCAGGAACGGGTTAGTTGTACTCCCAATACGACTGATAGTCTTCGGGTGTGTTCCATTAGCCTTTTCATCAGTACCTTCCGAGGGAGACTTTTTTTTCTCTTCATCATCTCTGCAAGGGAGAAAACACAAAGACTGAAATAAGGACTTGCCATAACTTTCAATAAGTATACTGATTTAGAGTCAAATCCCTGTTTGCTAATAGTTGATTCATAAGAACCACTTTGAAAATCAGGAACACTACGACAAGACCAAAGGAAATAGCAAATAAATAAAGGAGAAGAAACACAGATCAAAGGCACAGAAAATATTTTCAACAACAACAACAAAATCTCATAAGAAAATTTCCCTAACCTCAAGAAGAGGAAGATGCCTATCAAGTACAAGAAGCATAAAGAACACCAAATAGAGCAGATAAGAAAAGAAAGTTCCCCCAGTACATGATATTTCAAACAGGAAATACACAGAACAAAGAAAGAATATTAAAACCTGCAAGGGAAAATTCCAAGTAACTTATGAAAGAAGAGACATGTTAGAATAACACCTGATAACTCAGTGGAGACTCTGAAAGCCAGAAGACAGAAGTTCTACAAACTCTCAGAGACCTCAGATGCCATTCCAGACTACTATATTGAACAAAACTTTCAATCACAATAGATGGAGAAAACAGTACATTTTATAATAAAACCAAATTTAAAGGAATATCTATCTACATATCCAGCCCTCCAGAAAGTGTCAGAAGGAAAACTAAAAACTTTAGTTACTACACCCAAGCAAACACAAGGAATAAATATTCCCAGACCAACAAATTAAAAGATGGGAAGTACAGACACACACACACACACACACACACACCACCACCACCACCACCACCACCAAGACCGCCACCAAGACCACCACCACCACCACAACAAAATAAGAATCAATATACAGCTGGGCATTGGTGGCGCACGCCTTTAATCCCAGCACTTGGGAGGCAGAGGCAGGCGGATCTCTGTGAGTTCGAGGCCATCCTGGTCTACAAAGTGAGTTCCAGGAGAGCCTCCAAAACAATACAGAGAAACCCTGTCTCGAAAAAAACCAAAAAAACCAAACAAACAAACAAACAAACAAAAAAACCAAAACAAAGAATCAATTTACATTGTTCATTGATATCTCATTTCCCCAATTAAAAAACATAGACTAACAATATAGATAAGAAAACAGGATCCATTCTTCTTCTAAATCCAAAACGCATGCCTTAATATCAAAGACATCAAATCAGTGTAAAAAGGATTAAAAAAGATATTCCAAGGAAATGGAGCTAAGGAGCAAGCTGATATAGTCATTTTAATATCAGACAAAAGAGAGTTCAAACTGAACTAATCAAAAGATATAGGGAAGAATACTATATACTTATTAAGGAAAACCCACCAAGAGGACACTGTCATTCTTTTTTTTTTTTTTTTTTTCTTTTTGGTTTTTCGAGACAGGGTTTCTCTGTGGCTTTGGAGGCTGTCCTGGAACTCGCTCTGTAGACCAGGCTGGCCTCGAACTCACAGAGATCTGCCTGCCTCTGCCTCCCGAGTGCTGGGATTAAAGGGGTGCGCCACCAATGCCCAGCTCGACACCGTCATTCTTACTATCCATGCCCAAACACAAGGACACCCAAGTTTGTGAGAGAAACACTACTGCACCTTAAATCACTTACTGACTCTCACACTGAGCATGGGAGACTTTAGTAACCATCTCTCATCCATAGACAGGCCATCCACACAAAAACTAAACAGACAATTGCTGGAGCCAAGTGACATTATACACCAAACAGACCTAACAGTTATTTACAGAACATGTTGCCCACCACAGAAAAATTTTATGGAACTTTTTATGGAAAAAATTTTATGGAACTCTCTCCAAAATTGATACTTGGACACAAAGCTTTGAAATAACACCCTGCATCCTATCTGGCCACCACACAAAAGCTAGATATCAACAACAACAGAAGCAACAAAAAGCTTATAGACTCATGGAAACAGGAACTGTCAAGGCAGAAATTTAGAAGGAAATCAAAGACTTTCTAGAACTGAGTAACAACATACCCAAAACTTACTGCGAAAAAGGAAGATGGTTCTAAGAGTCGAGTTCCTAGCATTAAGTGCCTAAACGAAGTAATTGGAGCAATCTCATACTGACAACAGCACACCTGAAATCTCTAGAACAAAAGGAAGAAATTAAATCCAAAAGGAGGAAGCACTAAGAAATAATCTAACTCAGGGTAAAATCCATAAAATAGAAACAACAACAAAAACAATACGAACACTCATTGAGAGCAAGAGTTGGTTCTTTGAAAAAAAAATCAACAAGATAGACAAACCCTTATCCAAGTTAACTAAAAGGCAGAGAGAGAATATGCAAACTAATAACAGACATAAACAAAATTCAGAGAATCAATAACATACTTTAAAAAAAAAACCTGTACTCCTTCAAATTGGAAAATTTAAAAGAAATCAATAATTTTCTCAATACATACCATTTAACAAAATTAGATAAAGATCGGATAAGCAATTTAAACAGACCTATAACCACTAGTGAAATACAAGCAGTAATTAAAAGACTCCCAATTAAAAACAACAGCAACAAAAAAAGCTCAGGGCTAGACTTTCAAAGAACTAAGCCGGGCGTTGGCGGCGCACGCCTTTAATCCCAGCACTCAGGAGGCAGAGGCAGGAGGATCTCTGTGAGTTCGAGGCCAGGCTGGACCGACAGCCTCCAAAACAGAGAAACCCTGTCTAGTAAAAACCAAAAAAAAAAAAAAAAAAAAAAAAAAAGAAGAACTAATGCCAATGATTTTCAAATTATTCCACAAAATAGAAACAGAAGGAACACTGCTCAATTCATTTGATGAAGTCAGTTATTTTAATACCCAAACCACATAAAGTCCCAACAAAGGGAATTACAGACCAATTTCCCCTAAGAACATGGATGCAAAAATTGTCAATAAATTACTTTCAAACATAATCCAAGAACAATGGCTTATTACTCAGTTATTTTAAAAAAATGACATCATGAAACTTGCAGGTAAATAGATGGAATTAGAAAAAAAATCCAAGAATACTTTAAAAAGATCATCCACCATGATTAAGTACACTTCATCCAGAGATGCAGAGAAGGTTCAACATATATAAATCAATAAATAAACAAACTGAAAGACAAAAAGCACATGATCATGAGATGTAGAAAAGGCCTTTGACAAAAAAATCCAACTCCCCTTCATAACAAAAGTTCCAATTAGAGATTAGGGATGCAAAGGATATACCTCAATGGACTAAATGAAGTTTGCAGCTAGTACTCAGACACCAGCTTAAATGGAGAGAATCTCAAAGGAATTCTACTGACCAAGACCTTGGGACTACATAGCCCAGGGACCTGGGGTAAAATCAAATACTACTGTTCTTAAATACAAAAAGTAGCAATGGAATTACCCCTAATGACATTCTTTTATACTCATAGATCAGTGTCTTGCTCAGTCATCATCGTAGAAGCAGATGGGAACAAATACAGAGACCTACAGTCAGACATTATGCAGAGAGTGAGAGACCTTCAAACACTCAGCCCTAATAGAGATGTGTCTATCAAATCCCTCCCCTCAGGGATCTGGCAACTCAGCAGAAGAGGAGGTAGAAAGAGTGTAAGAGCCAGAGGGGCTGGAGGACACCAACAGAACAAGGCCCCCTAAAATCTAAAATCAATCAGATAGATGGTCTTATGAACTGACAGACTGAGCAGCATGCACAGGGCCTCAATGGCCCTGCACCAGGTGGGGTCCTAGAGCTGAAAGGAGAAGCAGACACATACCCCCATCACTAACCCAGAAACAATCTCCAATTTATAGCCTCTTGTAAATGAAAATTTAGTTTCTTCCAAGGGGTCTCAGTGTGGAAACTAATTACACTTCAGGGTAGGCTGCATGCCCAGCATGATGGCAGAGAGAGCAAACTCAGGCCTCGAGAGAGGTTCCTTGTCTCATAGGGACGCTTTGGGGGCTCTTCTTTATTATTATTTTATCTCATTTATATATTTTTCTTCTCTCTTTTTACCCTATAAGGTCCTTTGAGTATGTATTATGGCTTCTAACTTGATGTTTTTATGGGATTCCTGAGTATGTAAATGAGTCGGTCTCTTTCTTGTGCATTCTCTTAGGACCTTTTCCTTCTGTTTGTTTTGTCCAGTGTGTTAGCTTTTGTTTTATCTTATTTTATTTTATTACTAAAACTTAGAATAAGCCTGTTCATTTTTCTAATTAGAGGAAGAAAGGGGGTAGATTTGTATGGGAGGGGAACTAGAGGAGTCGAGGGAGGGGAAAACACATTCAGGATATATTATATGAGAAAAAAATCTATTTTCAATAAAAGAATAGAATTAAAAATTAACAAAATGCATTATTCTGATTTTAATTAAATAAAAGCCCTATAATAATAGCCAGCAGTTAGCGACAGTCTCCTCTGTGCCAAGTATTAATAATGATCATGACAATTATGTAAGATCAATATTAGCATTTTAAATTGCAGATAAGGGAATAGACTCAGTGAATCCAAATAAATGCCCAAAGTTACAGACTCAGCAATTAAGAGGTAATGAAGGTATGACTGGAGTATCTTTACAGCTCTTTTTTCTCCTGCCATGATGGCTTCTTGGTTATCTTCTTTCAAACAATGGGGGGACTGGTAGGGATTGTAAGTTGCACTTTTATACTGGTTCTGCCAGAACAACAGGTGTATAGCACACAATTGGTATCTACAGATTGAGCACTGAGAATAGTACTTAGCTTTGTCTACCAAGCAAACAGGCTCATCATTAGCATCCAACCCCCAGATCAAAGCTGCAAGTGTGTGAGGGAGGGCAGTGTCTTCACTGTGTTTTGGTGTCACAAGGGGTACTACTTTCCCCACTATCACAAAGGCATGGGCCAGCCCACCAGCTACTGTGAAACTCTTATTTGCCTTGCCTTGTTTTTTACATCTCTGTGCCATCAAGCATGGAAACTTTAAATCTTAGATAACATTCCAACTATGAAGAGTCCAAAAGATTAGATGATCAATATTCAGTTAATGAAGAAGTAAAAAAGGCAGAAGA